GGCCGCCCCATACTGCAAAGCAGGGATGCCAAGAGTTCTTCAAAGGAGCAAGAAGCAGGTTATGAGAAAACATGTTTGAAATATTTTCATTTTGAATACCTAAAAGCAAGGATGTTGTGCATGATTGTTGTCTTGTCATAAGTTATAACTTCATTTGTACTCTTTATTTTGTTTCAAGCTGTTGTTTTAATCTTTCATTTATTGGTATTTTTGTGTAGTATACTGTTAAAGCTATGCTCAGTCTTAACAACAGGGGTTGGTTAAACAATACTCATTAATAAACAATGCTGTTGAGAATATTCATAATGAAACTACTGCCATGTTTTACCCAGGTGCATTGGCTATGGAAGCCCTGCACAGACAGGTATTGCCCTTCCTGCTCAGAAGACTCAAAGAGGACGTTTTACAAGATCTTCCACCAAAAATCATTCAGGATTATTACTGTGATTTAAGCCCACTTCAGGTAAGATATAACAACTTGTTGATGTTCTGTTGTGTATTTTTGTCTGCTGAAGAATATTATATACACCAATATTACTGCAGTCTATGGCATATGCCCTCTTTTTGTAAAGAAGATATTTCCTTTATATATGTTACAGTCATGTAATTTTAATGACCCTGTTTCATCCAAGTATGATGTTTACTGCAGAATGATATATTTATGGCTTAAAGCATTTTAGATGACATACTTCATGTCTTTATTTAGGTTCAGTTATATGAAGACTTTGCCAAGTCCCGAGCCAAGAAGAATGTAGAAAGTGACATAGAAGAAGGAGATGGAAAATCAAGCGCACACTCTCACATCTTCCAGGTATCATATGCTACACAGAGATTTGGTTGCAAAATCAGCATATTTTATGCTTGGAAGTTTCTGCATTGCTATATTAGCCTAATGTTGTGAGAAAAGTTACATATTTCAAAAGTATCTTTAAATAATGAGGGTTTTACAACATTTTGCTTCCCTGCTTGATGTATATTCCATATATATATATATATATATATATATATATATATATATATATTTTTTTTTTCAAATAAACCTCCTGACGATCGGGCATACCTTCTGGGTATGCCCGTGAAACTCCGAGTCGGGGTTATTGCATGTCTTTTGTTTATTTATTTATTTATTAATTTTAATTGTGTATATATATATATATGTGAATTATTTAACTCTTCAGGCTTTGCAATACCTTCGTAAAGTATGTAACCATCCTGCATTGGTCCTTACACCTCAACATCCAGAGTACAACAAAGTTATGGCACAACTGATGATGGAGAAGACCACTCTCAAAGATATACAGCATGCCGCAAAGCTCACTGCTTTAAGGTATATTAGTAACTTTTCGCCAGTCTTTTGATGCATTATATAAATTTTCTTGGATGAAATGAAATCTGTTTGAATTGCTTTTAAAATGCAGTAAGAAATTTGGGGAAAAAAACTTCCTTTTAAACCTTTGAGTATATTATCTCTCATATAGGTGGTTTCCAATTTTAAGATCACGTAATTTCTAGTCTACTGCAGATCTGATTGTCTAGCTCTTAAGGACAATAATTAGTCAATCTTTTCAGTGGGCAAAAATTATCAAACTTTCAGATACATTATTTTATAATCACAAAATTATGTGTCTATTCTGCATTTGTGGTGCTTTTACTCCATAGAATAGAACTCCAGAGTAGCCTGTTTTTCAATTTTGTTGCTACCTCTCAATAATAAAGTTTTAATTTTAAGAAATAATGGCTTAAAAAATACACTATCTGTTTGTTACATTCACAATTCCCCCCTTTGAAAAGATCGAGTAAGTACGGTAACTTATCAGTTTTGTCAGCATAATAAAATTCTTTTTCCCAGGCAATTGTTGACAGACTGTGGTATTGGTGTAGGGGCAGACTCCAATGCTTCTGATGCTCCAGTTGTCAACCAGCACAGGGTCCTGGTGTTCTGCCAGCTCAAGAGTATGCTAGATATGGTGGAGAAGGATTTGCTCTTGTAAGAAACCTTCCCTTTTTTATCAGTCTTGTTTTTATGTACAGACACCGTTTTTAAGAACATTTTGTGATCATCTGCATCTCTTGGTATCAAAGATGCCACCATAGCTGTCTTGTATGACTTGGCTCTTGCCAAATTTCAACAATTTGTGGTTTTATTATCAACTTTGGAATGTTCTAGACTTCAGATTTCTCTTTTTAACATGTAGGTCAGTGCTTTTAACATGATATTTGCTTTACTAAGTGTTTTCTCTCAATCGGTTATTTACAGTGGTATAGCTGACACTTGTTCAGGTATTAGATAGTTGGTTATAAGACATAAATGTATTATGCAAAGGTTGACCTAAATAACACCACTAAGTGATCTCTCGTAACCATTGTTTTCCATGTTGATGATGTTGATGATCATGATGGTAATAATTGTAACAACGATGGTGATGATAATAAAAGTGTACGTGATCACTGAAACTGCGTTCAGTGTGAGTAATCATCACCATAATCATCCTCAATTCCTTCATGCCAACTGGCATCTAGGGCACCAACAAAGATCTTCAGTTAAAGCAATAATTCCACGTATTATCCTGCAGGGCCCACATGCCAAATGTGACCTACCTGCGCCTAGATGGGAGTGTGCCAGCAGGGAGTAGGCATGGGTTAGTGAACAGGTTCAACAACGACCCCTCCATAGACATTTTACTACTTACCACTCATGTTGGAGGACTTGGGCTAAACCTCACTGGGGCAGACACGGTCATCTTTGTGGAGCATGATTGGAACCCAATGAAAGATTTGCAGGTAAGGTTTAAATAGTGTGCTTGATAGAATTTAAGTTTATTGTCAAGTCGGTTTAATTGTAGTGATAACTGATTACTTTTGGTTCCTAAGTACATAACAATGCAGTAATACTGTGTTTGAACTTATGGGTTTATGTACACAACCATCTTCCAGTTGATACATGAATTAATGATCAAATGCAGAATGGCAATGTTTTTCGAACTGGTGTACTCTTGAATTTTTTAAAAATAAGTTCTGTCTACCAAATTGTTGTTGAAAGATGTACGGGCGAGCACTCCTAATTATGAATAAATAACAATTGATTAATTTTGATTGCAGTAGAAGGCATGAAAAGTTCACATGGACAGCAATGCTACAAGTAGATTTTATCATGCAATACATGTCAATTAAATCTTTTCTTTAATCTTCTAAGTGTCCATTATGGTGCTTTTTCCTCTATTTATATATTTATTAATTTTTAATGTAAAGGCCATGGATCGTGCACACAGGATAGGGCAGAAGAAAGTAGTTAATGTTTACAGATTGATAACAAGAGGAACTTTGGAAGAAAAAATAATGGGGTGAGTAATATAATAAGGTTTAATATTTTGTGATAAATTACTTTGCTCCAACTGTTCATTTTGTTTGACATGCTTTTTACCTCCGGCAAGGAGGTTATGTATTCACCCCTGTTTGTCTGGCTGTCTGTTTGTTTGTCATCAACATAACTCAAAAAGTTATGGACCAATTTTGATGAAAATTTCAGGGTAGGTGGGAAATGGGTTAACTTAGAAGTCTTTGGTGGTGATCCGGATCAATAACCAATCAATAATCAGTAATAATCAAAAACCGCTGCCTTGGTGGAGGTCTGCACTCTCCAAGTGCTTTTTTAGTTAATATTAGTTTTATTAACATAGTTCTTAATGCAAAATTCCTAAAGTCCGAAATTCCAAAATTTCACTTTTTACTTGAACCGTGGTTTGCCTTCTGAGAGTTTCTTTAATGCATTACGTTTATTTTTTCCCCTTAAATTTTAGGCTTCAAAAGTTCAAGCTGACAATAGCCAACACTGTGATAAGTCAAGAAAACTCCAGTTTGGTTTCCATGGGAACAGATCAGCTCTTAGATCTGTTTACACTGGACGACAGTAAGAAGGGCACACCAAGTGAGGCTAAGCCAGAACATGGGAAAGAAAGCATGAAATCTATTCTGGAGAATATGGACGAGCTTTGGGATGAAAAACAATATGAAACAGAATATGACTTGGGGAGTTTTATGCAGTCTCTAGCACAGTGAAATCGACTGCTTAACCATGAGTTGTTGACATTCTTCATTTGTATGAAAAGTATTTTGCTCAGTAAATATGTTGTGATATGATCAGCAGTACTTAAGATCCTGTGTACGTTTTTGGCAAGTTTGTGATACAATTTATGATCAGTTTCTGTTTTTCATTCAATTTTAGAAGTTGTGTTTAAATTTCATTTGATAATTAGTTCTGAGTCAGAGCATCATGAAATGTTCACTGATATTCAAAAGGTTTGAACTGATAAAAACCATATACATTTAAAATGTTGGATGCCAAAGCCATTGCTCCGCTTGATGCAAATGACGTACATGATTTTTTTGTCACATTTGTTGACACATTTACCATGCTCGACTAATGACGGGTTATATTCAGAAGCATTATCAAGTTGCTATCTAAAAAGTGAATGCAAAATGCATACCAGTTACATTGGTTTGTTGACTAACATTCTCAGTTAATTTAACCAGTATTTTTATTGCTCTTTTGGTATTGCAAAAGGTTCAAGTATACATTTGAATGCCATGAAAAAATTTCTGCTAATGGTAATAAGAAGACTATTACATTATTCACTGTTATCGATTGACTTTGAAATAAATGATTGACTTGTTGGCATGCCTTATTACCAATTTGATGTCTTGAAATAAAATGGAATTTTTGTGAGGTTATCTCAACGTAATGAATGAAGCCCAGCATTGTGCTGATTTCGTTTTTATTTCAGGGGTAGGCCTGTATGTGATAAGAAGGCGCAAAATATAAATATATGTATATCCATCCTTTTTTTTTTTTATTATGAACAAAATTTAACGATCTAATGATAGATATTTAAAAGGATATCCCCCTTTCTACGTAATGGACTTTGCGTGAAATTTCAAAAAGTTTCGAAAATCTCTGCATGCTGTGGGCTGGTTGGTTTTCCCCCATCTTCATCAACGTCCTTCTACTGTTCCGATACATTCGGTAGGGCAATGGCAGCGCGGTGTGTATTACGTAGTGTAAAACGGGACCATAAAACTATCTGCAACGTTGCCGTGACAACCGGTATCCAACATATTGTACTAAACATAGCCCCATACAAGTCCGTATACTTGTGCATTGATGCCATCTTGTCTAGTTTGAATTGTTCGTAACTATAGCTATTCAGATATCCAACTACCAGCATCGGTGCTATGGAGAAGGCTGGTTTGATGCCGACGGTAAGTGTTGCATAAATCATCGAAGAAAGAGGGCGTCTGGAACGAAGAATATATTCGATGACTAGTTTCCTTTCGTTCAATCATTTGGATAATTAAAACCGTTAAAAAAGAATTTATCAATGACAAGTAAGCTAAAGTTTAAAATCCGCAAAATAACGTATATGATTTAATGGTTTCTAAAAATAAAGAACCTATACTGGAGCAGATTTTTATAAAGTAAAAAGGTGAGACGACGCAGAGAAAGGCTCAGGCTGGCGAGAGATAACCTAAGAATCCATTCCGGACCTACCCACTTTCAAATTATATCTTTGATACGAACACTATGCACCGTATTGAATAGATGCAATAGTGCGGATGATGAATTCTATTTAAAAAACCGAAACGGAAAGAAAGTAACATTACATGCCAATTTTTCTTCTTTGCGCATGCATTAGTAATAAAGACGATTACCAAAGACCGAAAAATCGCTTCATACTCGCTGATAAAGAGGTGAAAAATTGATTCGTTACCAATGACAATGTGAAAGGTATAGGGAACGATCTACGTTTAATCTCGGTCTATACACCACTAAATCATCGGCTTTTTAGTTCCTTCAATAAATTGTAGTTAAACTGGTTTTCTAGCTCCTAATTTTTTAATCTGTTCGACTTCCAAGTTTATTTCCACCTCAAGCCATCATGAAACTCAGCGTCGTCTCGAATTTCCTTTTTTTCGCACAAGTAGAGCGTTTTAAATAATATATTCTAAACGTGGCATATTCATATTATACTATGCTTTTCGATCACAAATGTTGAAGAACAATTTCATGTCACATATCTAAAATAATTTTGTTCTTCATTTCAGCAATGTATCCTTTTCATACGCAGTATTCTTATGCACACTACTTACTTTCTGTTGTTCGCTCTCATATCTGCATCTATGACATCAGACAGACAAACATTATACAGAGAATGGCTCCCAAATGTTGCGATACTGAAAAACAAACCAATCGATCTTTTTCAGCAAAACTCGTAGATATAAATATTGTTATAAAGCAGTTGTTTAAGTCATCTTTCTCTTCTGCCCTCCCCCCTCCCCCCCCCCCCCCCCCCCGACAATGACGAAAAAAAAAAAAGAATTATCAGATCCTTACAGTTTATTCCGTCCATGTAAATATACAAAAATATAATGAAAAAGTAATGTGTTTCAAGAAAATGTTTCAGGTTCGTTTTAAATTACTCACTTGTCGAAAAGGATAAATCCCAGCAATATCCACGGTTTCTGTTTCCCAATGTAAAACATGGTCAATGATGTAATGATTTGGAGGCAGAAAGTGTAACGTATTACGTAATATGTACCCAACTTCGCTATAAGTGGGGTCCCAAATATGACTAATACCTATGAAAAAGAAATGCAAAGTTAACTTTTAAAAAATCGTCTTTTAAAAAATACAGTTCTAACAAGAAATAGAAATGAGAGGTAAAAAGAATCCCTAAAATGACATTGAAGCCGTTTCTAATCGGTTGTAGTTGCAGTGGATGTTAACATACGTATATACACGTAAGTATGCTTGATAATATTAAAACTATGGTCCAAAATCAATCTTATACACTAATAGTAAGAAGAAGAAATTGTTCAAATTCTTTATCAAATCAAAATATAAATTTGGGCTTAGAGCTTACCTGTGGAAGAGACGAAGCCATGCCATAGAAAATACTTCGAAAATGTAGTGGTAGAGCATCTTCTGGGACTAGGGCCTCTGTTAAAATCGCAGTAAAATTTGCGAGATAAATTCGGTGAAATTCTTGCAAAAAATTAACAAATATAAATACGACTAAATTCTTCTGGGTAACGAGCTGCCAGATGAGGGAACAAATGGAGTCCTCTCTTTCTGTGTTGGTATGTTCGGTTTCCTTCGGTGTCTTTAGGTCGTAATGAGTATGGCAGTTTCTACCAGTGTAGTACATACAGAAAAACCCCACCGCAGCCAAAGCGATATTGAACTTTTGGAATCTGACAAAATTGTGGAGGTCTTCCGAAATTATGCTGGCAGCAAAGACACTGGTGGAACCAAGTAGTGAAGCCAACTGCGAATATCTCACTAGCCGTAGGCGACCTTCATGGCTTTTGAACATTTCGGTGAACAGACAACAATGCGCCAAGTGAACAAAGGTATAAACAGCATCATAGAAACACAGCGACACAATTAGATGTACAGAGCATAAAACGGACCCCGGTTTGTAAACTTCCCAGGGAAACCAAGGTATCAAAAATGAAATTGCCAGAAACGGAGCACCTAACAGAATGAAGTGACGTCGTTTCCTCAGACAAGCACTTCGGACATTGTCCTGGCAGTAGCCAAACAATGGGTCATTGAAAGCGTTCCAAAACATAAAGACAATCTGCGCCATTCGGAACCATTTCTCTGAAATCCTGTACATATTCAAGAACACTTTGACGTAGTAAAACATAAATACCCTGTTGATCATCGTCGTCCCCAAGGTAAGGGAGGCGTAAGCAAGAGTTGAGGCATAGATGTTCGATTCCATTCTTTAAACCCCGAACAACTCCTCTTTCAGTCTTTTCCAACTCATGAATCAGCATATGCTCATCAAAGGTTCCAGTACGGTCGCCTTCACATTAATATTGCTAAAATGCCTACAGCTGCTTCCATATAGACCCTACAGGTAAATGAAATATTTAATAAACCTATTCAGTTTTAATACCGACTGCGGGTTTCAAATATGTAAGGGAAGAAATTACATGGAGGAAGAAATAAAATATTCCATTAAAAGAAGAGATGTTTTTCATTATTGTAGACAAATTTTCAGAAAATAAAATTTAAATATTTGTACGCTTCTGTATCCAATAATAAGAAATGAATAATACTTAACTTCTCATTCATATTGAAGTAAGCCTCTGGCGGTCTTAGAACAAGACTTCAGTTCTGATAATAAAATAAAGCCAACCTTAATTACCTCTACCCAAACAACTTCTCACCCACGAGTATCCAGGGTAAATCTGTTTCCTTCAAGGTTAATCCAGAAATTTAACTCTTAATAATACACTGTTTTGAAACATGCAAAGCGTAAAAATTCTAATTTTAAGATGGGACAAGAAAACGAAGGGGGAAGGGTCAAGACCCCCCTCTAAATCCGCTGCTGCAGGTTGATTTTTCACTCGATATTCACAGATACAGTTGTGTCTCTGGCTGATCAATGACACGATTGGCGCTGAACATAATTAATCTGCGGTCCTGATAGAGGGTACATCTAAGCCTTATTTTGCTTGCAATGAAAGAGGAAGAAAAAACACTGAAACACGCTTTTTATCAAGACCTAAATCTGTTTTGTGTAAGTTGAACTAAATACTATGTAAATCATATTAGATACAAAATGTATTTCTGTAACAGCAATATATCACAGCGTTTTTCTGTCCTTTATTAAAATAAAATGACTTAACCTAAACGGTGCAATCGATTAAGATGCTACCCTTTTCCTCATATGAATTCGTTTTTGCCGGGCTTTGCTACACATATATTCTTCCTGTTTTGCGCACGACAGAGCTTGATCTGGTTGCACTAGCCTACACGGTTCTGACTGTTCTCAAATCTCATAGTCACGTGCATTGTCTATTTTTAACCTGCTATTCAACCAATCGTTGCTGCTATAGAGCAAATCCCCGGAGAAAAAGGTCACTTGGATTGCAATCGTCATAGTGTCTCCGTATTTGACACAAGTGTCCTGGGACGTGAGCCTTCTCAAGTTTTTTCAGGAATGAAGCCTGACAACATGGATGTAGTGGGGAAGACATTTAAGCAGAGAAAAAGTTTCGGTAAATACTTTGTAGGGCTAATGTTGTTTTAAAGTTCTTTGTACGAAGTTGTAAAAAAGTAATGTGTTCCGTATGCTTATGCATCTGTGCTGAACAGCTGATCGCGGAGTTTGTTTCAAATCGGATGAGCTAGTGTCCCGCAGTTCTTACTTCGCTTCCAAATAGATGGAATATAACGAAGAAATGAAATATAACAAACAACATATTTATTTAAGATATTTACTTGAACCATAAAGTATTATATTTGACTGTTCGAGAGTGTTCAGCTGTCCGAACTGATACAAGTACCCCCATCGCGTGTTTTAATCCGGGTTTTCTGTCGCAGGCCAGTAATTTTACGATTTGTAGAGATACAGGAAAAAGAGATGTAGACTTAAAGAAGCATCTACATTTAGAATAATGAACTTTTCTCTCTGATATGGTTTAATAATGTTATACGATCCCAAGCAAACTTTACATGATTGTACTAGTGTATATATATATGTACAGTAGTATGCATTTTCACAGAAATTTTGATCAGTGAATAAACTTAATAAGTTTGTTTTTGTGATCTGCTCCCCATAAAGGCATATAATGATTTATGCACTTATTTCAGCAACACGGAAAGAAGAGGTAGCAGGTATAAGAGCCAAGTTTCCTTCAAAAGTCCCAGTAAGTAGCAATTAAGACTTCAAATTCTGAATCAGTAGTTTATTTAGCTCAGAGATCCTCACTCTGATGTTGATCAGTTCATGATAACATGGGATAAAATCAAATCAGTGGGAGCTTTTTTTGCCGTGTTGTCCATATATCAGATAATATAACCACAAGGGATTGAGGATTTTACCAAATTTCTTGGGGCTGGAGAATAAAAAATAGAATAAGTAGACAGTATTTTTGCTCGGAAAAAATGGAAAAAATATATAGGGGTTTGGTGGGATTGAAGAATTGCCCAATTTCTTCATTTGGACATCCGAATTTATTATAATTCATTTCTTAAATGAAATAATTAAGTTTTCCAATCTGAGATTATTAGGACTGGGACTTTCCATCAAGATCTTAAAATAAAGAAGTAAATGTTAAATCATTCTGTTGATTGCAGTTGAATATAACTAATAAAGATTCAAATAGCTAGTAATGTAACCAATAACTATTACTTTTTCAAATTGTCTTACTTTATTTCAGGTAATAGTAGAGAGATACCACAAGGAACGTTCTTTGCCTATTTTAGACAAGACCAAATTTTTGGTTCCACAAGAACTTACAATGTCACAATTTGTCACAATCATCAGGTAATTAATGTAACTTTTGAATGTATAATCCTCAGACTGGTGTATCTGCTAAATTGTGTAGCACATGAATATATCTTATGATATTAGAAACTGAAGCAGTCAGGGTTTTCAGCTCTTTCATTGATTGATGTATTAAACATATCTTGGGTTTCTATAATTGTTAAAAACATGATTAAAAAATATAATTTAGTTGATCAAGCATTTTCCAAAAATTATCCTTTTGGCAACATATTGAACCATGTAATAGGGCTTCCTCTTCATTGAAAGGACAAAGGCAACATGGTTCAAAGTCCAAATAGTTATATACAGTAGGAGTAAAAAGGTACTTGTTACATGGTAGCACTAGGTGCCAGTTTAAATCGACAATATTGTAGGAGTGGTAGAGGAAAAAAGCAACTCTTTGTACTTGACTCAATTGACGCATGTTGTGTAACACATTACAGGGACCCCAGAGACTCCGATTTTTTATGGCAGACAGTATTTTGAAGTTGACAGCTTAAAGTGTGTAATATTTTATTGTGCACAATGTACTAGACCTTGACCCAGATACAAATGGGTATTTGTGGTGACTTTGTTGGGAGTCACAATATCCATGCACCCATCCTTATGTTGATGTACTAGAGTATGGAAAAGTCTGTGGCCTTGTTCCGAATCTATTATGTCTCTGGGGGCAATTAAGGTGACTCATCTAGGGTTCCTGTGTCCTCACTTAACCCCAAAAAGCAGACAATGTACATAGAACTTGACAAAGGAACCAGTCTCTATGTGATTCCAGAATGAAGTGATCTATCAGACTTTACCTTTAAGGTGGTTGCCTTGTCTGATGGGTTAATTTTGAGTAAGGACACAACATGGGTGTTTTGTTTGGCAGATCCAGGGGTTAAGAAAAGTCATGTGCCAATCCCCCCCTTTGCTACGGGGGTGCCCCTTTTTCTTTAGCTTAAAAAAGAAAGAAAAAGCAGGCAATAACCAAGCAAACTTTTCAACTTGTGCGCTTCATGTTACAATAAAATTGTTCTTGTCTACCATAATGATGTAAGACAATTATTTTTATCCTTGTACCCCCCTCCCCCTCCACACACACACACACACACACACACACACACACCATAGCAAATTGCATTTTATATGGCAATGATTTTATTAAAAAATTAAATGTGTGTGTTTAAATTGATAAAATATGCATCTAGGTTTGGTGGGTAAAATTTCGGGGGCAATTTGAGAAATCCCTTAGCTATATCAAACACTTCATTGGTTCCATTTTTTCAGCAATTATGATTTTCAATTAATAACCGTACAGAAGTTGTTGGCAAGAACCAAAATCACTTATGCAGTGGTGTTTTTTAAACAGAATTATTAATTCTTTTCAAATTTTGCAAGTGTTCATTGTAATCTTTGTTCTTTTTCGTGTCTGTCTCCCCCCTCCCCACAACCACCACCAAAAAAGGCCATAAGTATGCTTGCGTCATACTGATAATATTGATAAAACCTATACAGGTCAAGGCCCTAACTATAATCCCTATATCTGTAGTGTTAAAACACAATGTTCTCTTATCAGCAGACTTTGTTCACATGGACAGTTCTGACATGTGAATTGTATTAAACACTGTTTATGTATGCTTAGTGAAACCCACTGAGTACACAGAAATTAAGGGGTATATCCTTTTGTGTGTGATGGGCAGTATGAACTCAATTGTCCATGGACATGGTATATATCTCAATTTTCGGGTGGCTATGTAATAATTTTGGTCCTATCTTCTGAATTCCTACATGCTTTCTTCAACACGTGTCTTAGATGGAGGTGATGTACCTGTATACTTAAAATAAGTTCAACTTGGACATTTCATGTAAACAATTCGAGGAGCACTTATGTGCTCAGGTAGTAAACTTGTTTTGTAGTTTACTTGCGTACATCTGTTTACTTAAATGAGTGTGTTTATGACTATGGCTGTTGACTAAAATAGAATTTAGTGTTAGTAACCAAAACATTTTAGTACTTTATTATTTTTTTAAGGCTCAGTCAGTTTTCAGGATACTGTTTTAGTGTCAGAATAGAAAAATATTAACCATATATCTACACACACCACCAAACAATTTGTGACTTTTCTCACTAAATTAGCCATAAAGCCACCTATGCCAGCTTATTTGTAGATTGACTTTAATTCTGAGGAGATTGCCTGTCCCAAATATCAATTTCCGTTGAATGCCAGTATTGTGTTAATGTGTAGATAAGAAAGGTTTTCATTTAGAAACGGTTTCAAAAACAACTTTGTGTGCTACGCTGATCATGACCTTTGCACTGGTGAAACTTTTCCCTTTCACTAAGGGTGGATGAAAAATATCTAGCTTATATGAAAACATATTTCAACTTGTCATTTTTTGTCCCTTTTTCTAAAAATTTATACATCTTGGCATTGCACATGTTTCTTGGTGCATGTGTACTTTATAGAGTAGATCAAGGTAAAAGCTATTATGTGCAACCTGCCTAGAATCAGCCCACTTTTCTTGTTAATCAGTAACTTTTCAAAGATAAGGACAGATGTACTGTTAAATACCTTGACAAATATGAGTGGTTGATTTGCTTATCATTCAAATGGACCATGTTCTTTCAGGATATATATTTAAAACTTCAATTTTGCCAGGACAGGACCTTAAAGGANTTTTTTTTTTTTTTTTTTTTTTTGAGAACGGACGAAAATCGGTGCGCGCGCAGGATGTCATCCATAAAATTAAAAAAGTGTGGCCTAAGTATGATTACCTGATAGTGTTCAATAAGATGTCCATGAAATAATTGTAACTCTCTGCTGGAACATTCCCCTTTGCAAGAAAAATCTGGAAAATAAACATAAACTAGTGAAAATATACAATATACTACAGGCAGCAGATACTTTAAAAACAAATGCTAGCTTACATTTAAAAATTCAGTTTAAAAAAAAGTCACTTATTTCCTCTGTAGTTTGCCTTTCCAATGTGTACAATTTAGTTAAAAACAATTGGTCAATGGTGACAGTGTGTTGGTGCAAACAAATTGGGATTTTTTCCTCTAGCTAATTTTAACATGATGATCCCCTTATTCAACAATAATTAGGAAAGGGGATGAAGGAACTAACATCTCACTAACCTTGTTATAACTTCCCTCCATTAAATACTGTTCCATTGAAATGGGATGCTTGATGTATATATTTGTTTGTAGATCTTTCACAGGCAGTAACTCCAACTCCTGCATAATATGAAACAGATATAGTAATTACATAGTGCTTTAAATCTTTTCTATTGTATATAAATGTTCTTTTTTTTTCAAAGAGTTATACAATAGATTGGCATAAATTATTATGTAATATATCAGAAAACCATCAGTTAGTTTCCAACAAAAAAATGTGACGAAAAAAAATTTTTGATTTACAAAATTGCTTTTAATCTCCTACATTCTCAATGGTTAATGTTGTGATGATAATTCTTTATAATTCTTAATCCATATATATATATATATATATATATATATATATATATAAAATACTTACTGTGTGGAATTCTGCGAGTCTGTTTTGTGACAGCAAACAAAGGAGATTCAGGCCCAAGAGCTGGTACTTGTATGCGGAGTCGGGGAGATCATTTCTACATATATTAAAAATATATATATATTAATTCTCACTTTCTTCATAAATAATATCACATCATTTTACAGGTTCAAAAAATGCAAACCAATGTTAACAATTTAATTCAAATGAAGTTTGGTGTAGAAGAGTTTTATTAGCTTTGTTATTGTAAAGAATCTTGTAAAGAACCTTCACAAGTCTAAATGAAGTTTGGATATTCAATACTTGTAATAAACAAATTACAATGCTATGAGACTTTTCTCTACAACCAAGGACTTCCTCTTAAACTAAGACTAATGAATTTCTTCCACTTACTTGTAATCTAAGTAGTAGCACTTCAGCTGGGCCATGTATCTTTCAAATGTTGGAATATCGCGTTTTGCTATTGCCCATTGAGCTCCAATTTCAAGAATGTCTCCTACAAATCAAAACATGTCGTCACAAATTTAAAAATGCAGGATTGCCTGTTAAACCACATTTTAAAGAAAATGTCTGTGGGCGAGGTTTACCCAAGGATTGGGGTACAAAAAGTCCCAATATTAATACGTAATTTGGTCACTGATTTACAGGGAATCTGGCAAGGAATCCAATCCAAGCAAGTCCCAAAAAAATGCCACGAGAAAGAGGGTTTTTCAATTAAAAGATATTATGTTATGAAGTGCTTTACAAAAATTGTGTATTGTCAATCACCCACTTACTTGCAACAAGGAGCTCCTGTTTTGTTGCTGCTGTATCTTGTGTAGGCAAGAACATAAGCCCCGTCAATGCAACCTAAAATTAATATGAAAAATCTTATTTCCCACTGCTGAGCTGCCAAGTTTACTTTCAGCAGTTGGATTGTGATGGGCTCTATAGTTCGTGCTAACCAACGACGGTGCCAGTTTGAATAAGACCTAGAGCATAGACTAGAGAAATCAGTAAATTATTATCCGCAGATAAACCTAGGTGAGATGAAATTGAATCATCAAAGGGTTAATGCGTAACCAAGAACTATGAAATGATATCCAGTTCTCCAGGGTACCAATGAACGGTGATACCTAAATAATGTTATTATGATTCAGCAAATATCAACATCATTTCCCTCGTCACCAAAGAACAAAAGATACTTGACGGTTTTCATAGACAAAACTCCAACATTAACATTTGTAATTCGACAACTTATTTCCCAAGTATCACTCACCTTTAATTTACCAAGAAGAGCGCCACATTTGTCTAAATCCGATGGCTTTTTGTTCCATTCTTGGGTTAACTGTTGATAAGTCGACACAACTTCTTTCAGAGCTGCCATCTTTGTTATAACAGAATAAAGAGTGGTCTGTCATACATCGCGATTGTATTGCTTTCTATTACTAAACAATTTACTCGTCATAAAATTTTTATTTCAAAACAATGCTCAAATTTAGTAGTATTATATATTTGTATAGCCTATATGTTTATTTCCAAAAATAAATCCATAGAGAACATACATCACCCATTCTCTGTTTTAGAAGAAAATAGCTGTAGAACTTCCGGTGGACTGGCACATTGACGTTGCCCGAGTTGTTCCGCACGTCTGAAATGGAAAACGACGTGTTGGACTCTTTGGATGACTTGGGGTAAGCATATATAGAATGTACATTTCGTGATTCTTTACAACATACGATTTTTTATACTGCTGTTGTTGTCATTGCAGATAATAGCTATATTGTACACAGACAGTAATCGATTTTGACTTTCAAGTTTCATGATTCACTAGTATTGTTCACACGTTTCTTTATTCTAATAAGACAGAGACTTGAACTTTTATACACAGATAGTAGCAATATTAGAAAAACAAAACGATATCCTACAATGTATCTTCAAAAGCGTATGAAGTAGACCCTGACCTCCTAAATTTTGAGGCGGGGGGGGGGGGG